ATGGTACGTCCGCAGATCCATCTCTCAATGGTACGTCCGCAGATCGATCTCTCAACTTATCCTATTTTGGGCTGAGGGGGCTTATGGGCTGCCTGAAACCACGATGTGGCCAAACCCCAAAGCCCAAAGCCCAAACCCTAAACCCCAGTTTCCGTATTCCCCGGCCTCGCATTGTGCTCAGATCGACGCAGAAGCCGGTCCTTCTCGTCGTCCCGGATGGCAATAGGCCTCAACCCTAAACCCAAAACCCTAAACCCTAAGCCCTATAAAGCACTCCGCCCCAAACGGGTTGTTGTTTAGAGGTTTTCGGGGTCTACAAAATGGGGGGGGGGGGGGGTGTTACGAACATAGGGCACCCCTAAAGTAGACCCCAACTAGTAGGATCCTCCAAGGACCTCCTCAAAGCACCCCTAGATATCGTAAACCCACAACTGTTGGGTTCAGGACAGACTGCAGCCCATGCATCTCCTCCCCCCTCCGACCCTAAACCCTAAACCCTAAACCCTAAACCCTAAACCCTAAACCCTAAACCCTAAACCCCCGCCCCACCGCCAGCATCCCTTGCCGAGGCCATCGCAGCTGCGAGACCGACATGGCCAACGGTGCCTGGTCGGTTTAGGGTTTAGGGTTTAGGGTTTAGGGTTTAGGGTTTAGGGTTTAGGGTTTAGGGTTTAGGGTTTAGGGTGTAGGGTGTAGGGTGTAGGGTGTAACGTTGGGAGGTTCCCCCTTATACTAACAGTCCTCAATAGAGATTATATCAAGGGGTACTGAAATCCCTATTAGGGACTGTTAGTATAAGGGGGAACATCGCAAGGTTTAAGGCTTAGGGTTTAGGGCCATTTAGGGCTGGTTTCCTCTAACAAGGTACATATAGCCAATACTTAAGACAGCTTGACCTTAAACAAAGGTGCAGACTTGGCGCTGGCTAGGGTTTAGGTCTCACATGGCTTCGAGTACCATGCCATTCCTCTTTTGGCACAGAAATGGCTCACTCCAAAGCAGACAGACATCAAGACACTAAACCCTGAGCCCTGAACCCTAAAACCCTATATGCCTAAACCCTAAAATCCTAAACGCTTAAACCCTAAACAACCTGAACCCTAAAAAACCCCAAACCCCGGGCCCTACGCTCACAAAGCGCGCAGCTTGGTTCCTGTCAGTGTCCCTGCCTTTGAAGCACTTGTCCGTCGGGCCCTCTCCCATTTGAGCCCGATGCTGCAACTGCTTCGCATATTGGTGGGGCTTTGTTTGCGTTAATTAGGGTTCAGGGTTTAGGAGTTTTAGGGTTTTTAGGGTTTAGGGCTTAGGGTTTAGGGTTTGGGGTTTGGGGATTCGGGTTCAGGGTTTCGGCTGATCATGGATTACATGCCAGGGCAGTCGGGTCGCTGTGCAGCACGCAGCATCCACTCGTTTACTCCCACAATGGTGCCGTCATCCATCTTTGGGACGTGCATGTTCCAATCGCGAGTTTGGGGTTTAGTAGGGTTTAGGGGTTTAAGTTTCGGTTTAAGGCTTAAAGTTCTCAAGGGTTTAAGGATTCGGGGGGGGGGGGGGGGGGGTTAGGCGCATCTTTGTGCAACCCCATGCCTGACCACTCAGCCAGTCAAACATCTACGGGCTCGCCGCGTCTGTGGTGACGTCCAGGCGGATGTCTTTGGAGAGCTTACCTTATCAGTCTGGACATGTGACTTTCAAAAGTAAGGGTCTCATTCGCCGGGGGGACCGAACGAAACCTAAAAGGGTTTGCAGTTCTATAACCCTAACAGGGAATAAGAGCCCTAAACCCTAAACCCTCAACCCTAAACCCTAAACCCTGAACTCTGAACCCTAAACCCTAAACCCTAAACCCTAAACCCTAAACCCTAAACCCTAAACCCTAAACCCTAAACCCTAAACCCTAAACCCTAACCCAAAACCCAAAACCCCAAACCCCAAACCCCAAACCCCAAACCCCAAACCCCAAACCCTAAACCCTAAACCCTAAACCCTAAACCCTAAACCCAATCATTTGGTCCCCAAGAATTTTGTGGGCTATAAAGCGGGGCTGCACGGCTGTACTTGTTGCCAGCTACCAAGTTCAGATCTTCAAGGAACAAAAGGAGGGACCCTTACAAGGGACCTTAGGGGTACCCTAAACCCTAAACCCTAAACCCTAAACCCTAAACCCTAAACCCTAAACCCTAAACCCTAAACCCTAAACCCTAAACCCTAAACCCTAGGGGGCGACTTCGGTATATAGGGGCTCTATAAGGTATATCTAGATTAAGGGTCCCTTCTAGGGCTCCCTCCTTATACAACCCTAAACCCTCAAACCGAAAACCCTAAACCCTAAACCCTAAACCCTAAACCCTGAAGATCTTCGAAGGAAGGGCCCATAATTGCCAGGCTGAGCTTGTGAGATGCCCGGCTCATGCACTAGAAGTTGGGATGTTCCCCCTTATACTCACAGTCCTTGATCGGGATTCTAGTAACCCCTATGATAATCCCTACTAAGGACTGTTGGTCAGGGGGAACATCCCAAACTGGAAGTGTTGAGGGTTCAGGATTCCCCTTGGTAGCCTGGTAGTGCAGTTTGGCAGAGTTTCTGACCCTAAACCCTAAACCCTAAACCCTAATCCCTAAGTCCTAAACCCTAAACCCTAACTCAACAAGTGCTTGCTAGTGCAAAGGAGCTGCACGGGTATTCGGCGTCAGAGCAGCACAACCTCTGGCTTTTCGTGGCCCCATTCTCGATTGGCGCTTGCACCTCGCTTTCCCTACAACGCACGCGCATGCTTCCCACAGCCTTCTACGCCTTTGGGACCAAATGAACCAAAAAAAGGTTCCAGGGTTCGTATACCCTGATAAGGATTTATAGTAATGCAAGCAATATGAAATATGATCCCAACTTTGGGCTTCATATGCCCCCCAAGATCATTCCATCTGTGTTTCTATTTTTTATACTGCTGCGCATCTGTTACTTCAGGTCCCATCTGCGTAGATCGCGATGGCACTTACCAGGCCCAGGAGCACAGCGAAGGAGCTCCACTTCATAACGCAGCCCTTCCTTGCGAGGAATGGGCAGCCGCCTGGGTCACAGGAGACCCTGAACGACATGCTGCGGGACGTTGCATGGTCCCCTTCCTGTGCTCCCTTTTTATTCCTTTAAAGGGCTCTGAGATATGGGCCCTTGGGGCCTGTTAAGGTGTGCAGGGGGGATATAAGGGGTATATAAGGGTTCGGGCAACTAAGGGGCAGGCCGATTACTGTTGAGGGACAATGTAGGAACTTTTAAAGGGCTCTGAGATATGGGCCCTTGGGGCCTGTTAAGGTGTGCAGGGGGGATATAAGGGGTATATAAGGGTTCGGGCAACTAAGGGGCAGGCCGATTACTGTTGAGGGACAATGTAGGAACTTGACCCACAGGCTGGAGAGGGCAAATGCAAACCTGTCCCAGAACGCAGAAGCTACTATGCTATACTGCAATGGACAATTTTGGGGTATACGTTCTGGGAATTTGTTGGGGTAGCTTCGAGTATCATGAACGGGAAATCATAAAAAAGAAGTAGGCCTCAGCCCTGACTTCATATGGCCGATGAAGCCGAGAGGGTTTGAGGGGGTGTAGGGTTTAGGGCTTAGGGTTTAAGGTTTAGGGTTTAAGGTTAGGGTTGAGGGTTTAGGGTTAAAAGATTCAGGAAGAGTTGGTTGTCCCAAGCTCCACTGCGTCCCAACCGAAAGACGAGTTGGGTGTTGAGGGGCAACCCTGTTTCATAGTCAGACCTCTGTGTTTCCGAAAATAGGGTACCCTTTCGGGCTATACTCTTCGTGGTATAAAAGTACCCCTATGTATTTTGAGAAATACCCTGGCCGTGTGCCAAAACCCCCGGTTGTCGCAGACCGCGCGCGAAACCATCTGTTACAGACCTATGTAACGCACGTCTTGATACAAACCTCTGTCGCGCGCATGCACAATGGAAGCCAAAAGATCAAACAAAAAACAACAAGCAGGTCTGTTGCAAACCCCGGGCATTGATACATACCCTTTGTAACGGGGTATGTCGCGTGTGTCGGCCACGTCCCTGTTGCAAGCAATTAATATTGCACGACATCTTCTCTAAGCCGGAAACCTTAAACCCTTAGACACGACAGCCCACCCTGAGCACTATAAACCCCTCAATTAAATAACCCTAAACCCTGAACCCCCCCCCCCCCCCCCCCAAGCACTATAAACCCCTCAATCCTTCAACCGAACAACCCTAAACCCCAAACCCTACACCCTAAACCCTAAACCCCAAACAAAGCCAAGGTCGGAGCAAAGGTGGCTTCACGCCAGCACGTGCAAGGCCGTCGGGATACCCAAGGTAGGAGGGCACCTCTTCGAGTTTAGGGTTTGGGGTTTAGGGTGAGGGTTTAGGGTTTAGGGTTTAGGGTTTAGGGTTTAGGGTTTAGGGTTTAGGGTTTAGGGTTTAGGGTTTAGGGTTTAGGGTTTAGGGTTTAGGGTTTAGGGTTTGGGGTTTGGGGTTTTGGGGTTTTAGGGTTTATGGTTCAGGGTTCAGGGTTTAGGGTTTAGGGTTTAGGGCTTCGGATGTAAGGGCTCCGAGGGCTCCAAGGGGTTCAAGGGCTCTAAGGGCACTAAGGGCTCTAAGGCCTTTAGGGTTTAGGGTTTAGGGTTTAGGTTTTAGGGTTTAGGGTTTAGGGTTTAGGGTTTAGACCTTTAGGGTTTAAGGGCTTTAAGGGCTCTATGGGGCTTTGAGAGCTTCAAGCTTTGAGGGCTTAAGGCGGTGTAGGGGCCTTAAGGACCTGAAACTTCAAGGGGTTCACGGGCTCTTAGGGCTCGAAAGCGCTTCAGGGCTGTTGAGTTGTAGGATCGAAAGAATGTGTTTGCAATCGTGGAAGGTGTGGCGTCTTAGGTCCTCGCGCCATAGGGAGTTAGGACGATTCAGGTGTCTGCAGGCCCTGCCAGGTCACAGTTAACCCACCTTAAACCCTAAACCCAAAACCCCAAACCCAAAACCCCAAACCCTAAACCCCAAACCCTAAACCCCCAGCCTGCACGACTCGGACGGATCCCAGCTTCATCGTGGCCAAGGCTTCAGAGAGCCCCTCTGTAAGGCCCTGCAGCACAGCGGGAGGAGTGTCGCAGTAACCCAGGGCTTCGGGTTTAGGGCTTAGGGTTTAGGGTTTAGGGGGATTTAGAAGCTTAGGGTTCAGGGGTTTGGAGGATTTAGGGCGCTTCGTATGTTTAGTGGATTAAGGATTTGGGGGATTTCAGGGGTTTCAGGGGATTTAGGGGTCTTGAGGGGGTTTAGGGCTTGGGGTGTTGAGGGGTTTATCAGGGATTTACAGGGCTTTGACACCTGCGGCTCGGTGCCAAGTGAGAAGACCAGGGGTCTGCCGTCAGAGTAGGTGTCCACAAAGACCGGGTCATCCTTCTCCATCAGATATCCTGCCATGGAACCCCAAAGGGTTTAGGGTTTAGGGTTTAGGGTTTAGGGTTTAGGGTTTAGGGTTTAGGGTTTAGGGTTTAGGGTTTAGGGTTTAGGGTTAGGGTTTAGGGTTAGGGTTTAGGGTTCAGGGTTCAGGGTTTAGGGTTTACAGGGTGTATAGCATTTAGGGTTTTAGGGTTTAAAGGGTCCTCTCTCCTCTAACACTACTAGCAAACATCGGACTCTACTTGGAGGTTCATGGAACTTGTGATGAACCAATTATCGCTGTACCTATAACCACATTCGCGCACTTAAGGGGCTTATATAAGTGGGTTATAAGTACGGTCATAATTGGTTCAGAAGTACCATGAACCTCCAAGTATGAGAATGAATCCAGCACCGACATTGCAGCAAGGAGCCGAGCCTTTTACATGCGCGAGGACGACGTCGCCGAGCTCAGGGACCTTTCAAGGGAACTTCCAAGCCATTGCCTAGATTCCCAAGAGTGACCTAGGAATCAAAAGGGTACCCTTTTTGATATACAGGGGGCTTGTAAGGGAACCTAAACCCTACAAGAGGGGAAGAAGGGCCTACTCTGGGTTCGAGTTGCTCGGTAACCCCGGCTGCATGCTGTCCCTTGCAATCACATCCTGCAAGCCACAGATCCCCCAATTCAGGGGCCTGCTCTTGGTGCAGTTTCTGTGATTGTTATGTAGGGATTTTCAGTAAAACATGTTGGCAACTCATGGTCTACACTGAAACCCTGAACCCCGATATACCCCAACAATTTCACGGACCTAAAACAAAAAAGGGCGGAAGGGTACTAACCCTAAACCCTAAACCCTATATAAATGAACACAAAAACATTATTCCTAAGGGACTGTGGTTTCCCCTACTTTGGTGTGGACCCTGGAAAAAACGCAGATACTTTTTAGGTATAAGTAGCTATAATAGGAGCCCAGAACCCAAAAAAGTATTAAAGTATGGTAAAACACAGAAACCCAAGGTTCCCTAAACCCAAACTAAACTCCAAACCCCAAACCCTCCCTTAGCAACCCGACAAGTTTCTGGGGGTCAGGGACGCCGTGCCTCCCCGCCACCCACGCGGAGATCGACGTACTGCACGCCCGAGGCCAGCCTGACCACCTCCCCGGCTCTGCCAAGTGGGTTTAGGGTTTAGGGTTTCGGGTTTGGGGTTTAGGGTTTGGGGTTTGGGGTTTAGGGTTTAGGGTTTAGGGTTTGGGGTTTGGGGTTTAGGGTTTAGGGTTTGGGGTTTAGGGTTTAGGGTTTGGGGTTTGGGGTTTGGGCTTTGGGGTTTAGGTTGAGGGTTTGGGGTTTTGGGTTTAGGGTTAAGGGTTTGGAGTTTAGGGTTTAGGGTTTGGGGGTTAGGGTTTCGGGCTTATGTGGTTTAGGGTTGAGTACAGGGTTCAGGGCTTGGCAAGGGTAAGGGGGCTTAGGGCCGCAAAGTTTGGACTGCGGAGGCTGATGAGGCCGCGATGTAAACCCTAAACCCTAAACCCTAAACCCTAAACCCTAAACCCTAAACCCTACATGTTCCAAAGACGAAACAGGTCACCCTAGCCAAGGAAGCGTCAGCTCTGGGTTCCCCCCACACCCCCCCCCACCCCCCCTCCCAAAAAAAAGAGAAGCTTGGAATGTTTTTTTCACATACATATATATATATATGCACATAAAAAAATTCCTGCGTGGGCATTGCTTCGTGTGCATCGTGCAAAATTTCGTGAGCTTTGTGCAAAATTTCGCCGGCATTGGCTGGGCATTGGGATCATGGCTAAATCTGCTCTGTAAACCTTAGAGTTCAGTCCCAAACCCTAGTATTTAGCCTCGAACGCAACAGGAGTCTCTCGCTTAGCTGTTGCCAGTGGATCAATTACAAGCAGCAGTTTCCTGAAACCTTGTCCTCCTAAAAAACGCTCAACCGAAAATGGATAGATGCAGTCGTGCTGCGTCAAGAAAAGGTTGAACCGAAACTGTGCTAAACTCAGGCTCGCCAATCCCCCCCCACCCCCACCCCAAGGAAAAGAATAGGTTGAACAAAAAACTTGCTCAATTCAGGCATAAGCTGAGCGGAAGAGTTTGAAGAGATGTAGGAGGTAAACTGGCTTGGGGAATAGGCGGGTGGGTATATCTTCGTCGCCTGGCAAGCGGCTTGACTCGTGAATGCTTTAGCTTGAGATAGCTTGCAAAAAAATAAGGGGGCCCCTCAATATGGACCTCAAAACCATGGGGAACCCATCAGGGATGGTTTTAATTACTGGTATCTCCAAAAGGACACCCAATATATAAACCCTAAACCCTAAACCCTAAACCCTAAACCCGAAACACTCAACATCATAAGGAGCCGCATGTACACGGACCGATAGCAAGTAAGCAATAATCCCTGCTTCATATACGCCTTGTAGGCGCATGGACCCACGGAGCACCCCCCTAAACCCTAAACCCTAAACCCTAAACCCTAAACCCTAAACCCTAAACCCTAAACCCTAAACCCTAAACCCTAAACCCTAAACCCTAAACCCTAAGGGTCCTACATACCGGGCTACATGGTGCCTTTTCTATACTCTCATCCTATTGGAAAACCATTATAAGGCGGCCCTAGCAATGTTATAGCATTCAGGGTGCCTGAAAAGGGACCCATGATTTTGAGATCTGACCAAATGCACGCTTTAGGTTCATACTTGGATACTAGGGAACCTCGCCCTAAACCCCAAACCCTGAACCCTGAAGCCTGCACCCCTAAAGCTTAAATTCACATTAGGGAACCTCCGACATGTCCGCACAATCGACCTTCGCCTAGAAAGATCAAATGGCCTCCGATCCGTCCTCCAGCTTCTTGCGCTCCACTTCCTTGTGTTGGGGCTTCGGGTTTCGAGGTTGACGGTTCAGGGTTTAGGGTTCAGGGGGTTTGGGGTTGGCAGATTGAGGTTGAGGAGGAGGAGGAGAATTCACATTACCTGCACCTACACTTTCTAAAGCTGACGGACAGCCAGGATCCCCAGGTACAAAAGCCCTACGCCCAGATGCACATCTTAAAGACACTTCAGTCAGTTAGCCACGTACTGGGCTCCATAAAGCAACCTAACTCTGGGAGCAGAGAAGTCTTTGAGGTCGCAACAAGAACCACCGCCTCACACTCCGTAACCGTACCTGGTCACTTTACCCTGCTTGGCTGACTTCGGAATCCCTCCTAAGAGTTTGACTTTTAGGCTCCTTCTTGTAGTTTCTACGAAGTCCTAAGAGCCAGGCAGAAGAAAGCCAAGCCTGATCCCTTTTTGCTAGGGTGCCCCCAAAAAAGACCACAGCTTCGAGAACTACCCACAAAAGTGACTGGAGTTTAAGGCTCAGGAAGTAATATTTAGGGCTCGGGTTTAGGGTTTAGGGGTTTTAGGGTTTTAGGGTTTAGGGTTTAGGGTTTAGGGCTTAGGGCTTAGGGCTTAGGGTTTAGGGTTGTTTAGGGTTGAGGGTTGAGGGGTACAGGGGCTGGGCCCAGGCACGCGGCTCGATCGCATCGCCTTCGCGGAACTGCGCCGTGGCGCCAGGCAGACCCCGAGCCCTTCCGCAAACATGGGCTCAGGGTTTAGGGTTTGGGGTTTAGCTTCGGGTTTTGGGTTTAGGGTTTAGTGTTTGGAGCTTGGTGGAGGGGCGGAGCTCTGCAGTTCTCCGCACGCATGGCATGTCCAAACACCATAAGATACAAACAAACTGCCAGAACTCTCAAATCGGTGAGACGTGGTGGCCAGAGGAACCCTTGCAATGCCCTACGCCCTCGACCCCAAACCCTAAACTTGGGATGTTCCTCCTTGTACGAACAGTCCTCAATTGGGATGGTAATCGGGGTACTATAACCCCTATTTTGGACTGTTAGTATAAGGGGAACATCCCAACCCTAAACCTCTAAACCCCAGACCCTAACCCTTAAACCTTAAACCCTAAACCCTAAACCCTAAGCCCTAAACCCTAAACCCTAAACCCTACCCCAGCTTTGCCTATCAAGGCCCCACCAACTCGGCGCGGGATGGGTCGCGCTCCTGCCGCTGGCTCGCGGGACAGCCACTCTCACACTTAGTTCAGGGTTCAGGGCTCAGGGTTTAGGGATACTGAGTGGCTGAGTTCATAAGCCCCCAAAAAGTTTGCACTTTCAGTTCGAGAGGGGGCTACAATATCCCAAGAAGTGTGAAGTGTACTCATTCAGATACTCTCATATCTGAAGGTCAAATTGCCCTAAATTTCTACCTAGTTTCTCACCAGGCTTAACCAGGGAATGTGAAACCCCGTGGTTCTCGAGGTCCGAGACATTTGCCTGGCACCTACGGGGGTTGAGGATTCTAGGGCTTCTGCGACTTTGCGGGTTTGGAGGGTTCAGGGGCTACTGAGGGAGTAGTTCTGACCCCAGGCTCGGCTGTTTTCCGCTAGGCCCTGACGAAATGAGCAGGATTTATACATAGATTGACATAGATACGCAGCTATCTATAGACATGTATTAAGATATGCAGCGTAATTAAACCCTACAAGCCACTGAAGCTTCCACCCTCAACGGCTCCTTGCCCAACGTTTTGGCTCGGCTGGCTCGGACGTGTGAGCGTCTGCCCAGGCACGTTCGGGCCAATGCCCGGTGGCAGCCACGGCCACATGGCGGCTTAGGACTTTATACAGGGCACCGCGAGAAGCCTCCAAACTAAACCCTAAACCCTGAACCCTAAACCCTAAACCCTAAACGACTGTGCCTTTTAACGTAGCAGGTGCATTGGGAGCTGTACACCGCGGGCTTTTTGGGCTGTCGGTCTCTTGGGCTCTAACCGGGGTTTTCAAACGGAGCCCTTGTAGCTGCAGCACATTGGCCTGGTACACTTTTGAAGTACCTATATACCCACATACCTAAACCCTAAACCCTAAACCCTAAACCCTAAACCCTAAACCCTAAACCCTAAACCCTAAATAACCACTGGATAAACCCCTGAGGTGCCATACAAGGGTTCCCTCCTGAGCCCCTTGATGACAAAAAACCTTTGCTCAAAGGGTTTACGGCTCATCGACTCCTAATTAGGGAATATCGGCGTATAGGCACAGGGAAATATGATCCCGATTCTAGGATTCTTCAGTTGGAGGTTTACGAAGATCCCCCGAAGTAGTCGGATTCTATCATCAGGACCCTAGTAAGGAACCCGCTTCTGTCGGAAACCCTCATTTGGCCCCCAACAATTCTTCATCCGAAGGGCCTCTTTCTGGAGACGACAAGGTCACTTGGGGTTTGGGGTTTGGGGTTTAGGGTTTAGGGTTTGGGGTTTAGGGTTTATGGCACAAACTTCCCCCTGGCATGCCCCTTGCCCGCAGTGTTCAACATCAAGGCTGAGAGACGTTGAGAGGTATGAGGGAAAACTAGAGCCCGCCTGAAGCAGGTTACCATGATTATAGGGTTCTTAAGGGAGGGTTTAGGGTTTAGGCTTTCGGGTTTAGGCTTTAGGGTTTAGGGTTCATGGGGGTAGGTACCTAGGGAACCTTAGGGAAGCATAGGGAGCCTCAGGGAGTAGTGGGGAGTATTGGGGAACCTTGGGTTCGATTCCCTCCTTGAACCCCCCTCCCTTAAGAATTAAGAACCCTATACTATTATTGGCATTTTAGAGTGTCCATCCGTATTAGTCTTAACGTATCATATCACTCACACTCTATGAGTCATCAGAATATCCAGCAAGGACGCGACTTTTGATGTGCAACCTTTCACCCGATCGAAGCGCTGTAGAGCATGCAGGAATCGCCCGAGCTTATGTTACGAAGACGGGGCCGCATTGTGCGAAGACCCGTCGCTGCACGGTGCCCTAGCCTCCGTGAAGTTTTCCAGGAGGAGAGCACGTTCCAAGACAAACAGCCAAGAGCCGAGAGGGGAGAGAGGGTAGAGTCGGCTTTGGCCAATTTGGGCCACCAGGCACCCAGCTTGGGATCTATAGGGTTTAGGGATCCTGGTATAGTTATAGTACATAATTAGGGCTAGTGTTGCGAGTCATAGGGCTTGGTATTTGTTTAGGGTTCCTAGTATGTAATTAGGGCTTAGTGTTGCGAGTGTGCAAAGTGCGAAGGGCACCTGGTTGCAAAGGTGCTGGGGGACTGTACAGCTTTGCGAACTTCTTGCGGAAGCTCGCTGCTTAAACGCACAAGAAATCGGGGATTCCCCGGGCACGCGCAAAAATGCAATGCTGAAGCAGCCAGATTCACGACATTTCATGAGCTTCAAAGTTGACTCCGAAACTCGGCCCCAAAAAAAACCCGATGGGCCCTAAGCAACACCCTGAACCTCCGTAGGGTGACAAATGCCCTAAATTCAGGTTGTAACCATATAGCTACCCTACAGATCATGACTTTATCTAAACCCTAAACCCTAAACCTAAACCCTCAACCCTCAACCCTAAACCCTAAACCCTAAACCCTAAACCCCTGAACCCTAAACCCTAAACCCTATTCCGATCCTCCAAAGCAGAATCTGGCTCGGGGTGCAAGAAAGCATCAAGCCTCAGACTAGACTCAGATGATGGTGTGCACCCAACCTTGCAGGAACAACGCTCGGGGACTGTGCCCTTCCCCCCTTCCACTTGGTTTGGGGTTTAGGGTTTAGGGTTTAGGGTGTAGGGTGTAGGGTGTAGGGTTTAGGGTTTAGGGTTTAGGGTTTAGAGTTTAGGGTTCAGGGTTCAGGGTTTAGGGTTTAGAGTCTTGGGTTAGCAAGGTGCTGCCCCTGCCCCCCTGAATGAACCTCCAGGTAGAAGTGAGCCATAATTATGGCCGTGCTACCCTCCTGCAGTCCAAGACAAAGGATTACGTCGGGCTTAGCTTCTAAGAGCTAGGAACCCTGCAACATAAACAGGGTTCAATCCCGACTGAAGGAAGTAACGCAAAGACCCGCAAAGATGAGGTTGAGCTTAAACAGTGATATGGGGGTTACCGAAATTAAGGGTACCGTTTTGAGGTCCTCCTTATAAGGGAATCCTGCTGTTGGGGGGACCATATTCGGGGGCCCTTCTTTTCCGTAAACCCTCAGATATGGTATCCTGGAGCCGCCGATTTCTGTGGTGGGTGGCAGGCAAGCCCCAGCGACAACAGCCCCATCCTTCCGTAACCCTGTCACACAAAGAAACACTCATGGAGAACCGTTGCGGCCCCCCCCCCCCGCCCCCCAAATCATACCTGCTCCCTTCTACTGTATGAAGTACAGGTTGGGGTCTTGGACTCAGGTGCGCAGGCCCAGCCTATCAAGGGACTAAAGGAGGGACCCTTACAAAGGGACCTTATAGGGGTCATCTATAGGGGCTACTGAGGCAAGATTAAGGGTCCCTTCTAGGGGTCCCTCCTTATACCCCTTAAGCCCATTAAAAAAAAAAAAAAAAAAAAAAAAAAAAAAAAAAAAAAAAAAAAAAAAAAAAAAAAAAAAAAAAAAAAAAAAAAAAAAACAGGACCATCTGCGAGGAAGCGGAGTCACTACCAGGGTCCCCTTACAGTACAGCGCTTCCGTCTGGATGTCTTGTGGCAGCCGGTCCCTAAACCCTAAACCCTAAACCCTAAACCCGAAACCCTAAACCCGAAACAGGTGGACTCCAGGGAGCCTGCATCAATGACCTGAGTTGATGGGTCAGGTGTTTAGGGTTTGGGGTTTAGTTCAGGGTTTGGGGTTTAGGGTTTAGGGTTTAGGGTTCGAAGCACTTCAGCTGATACAGGAGGACTTGGTATCCATGGAATCAGAATGCTGCCATGCTGTCCCCACGCAGTAGCCTGGCCTGGCACATCTTTGGGAACCTCACCCCACCCCCCCGCTCCCACCCCCGAAGCCCCAAACCCTACCCCCCCCGCCCACCAAAAAAGGAGGACAGAAACTCCCACTCCCGGGTCCCTAGAGTTTCTCGCCACCGAGATGCGTCCCGCATGATATGCAGAAACGCAAGGAAATTCACCTGGGCAAAGTGGGCGAAACAAAGGCACTTGGCCAGGGGCTACACAGCGGCAGTCGTCTAAATCATCACGGTCCCCTTTTGGGGGGTGCCCTTTAACCAAATCAAAGCACAGAAGACAAATAACAGATGATATACGACTATCCGCCGACCCTGGCGGCGTGTTGGATGGGTTTGAGGAGGTGAAAACCCCAGAACAAAGGGGGGGGACAATTTTTTCGTGGAGGACCGCACCACCCGCACAGCGTAAACAGGCGGTTCAGCACAGGGGGGTAGGGGCGCCCTCAGCAAAATCAGCGTTTTCCCGCCCCCCAACCCCCCCCACCCCCCCCACCCCCCCCCCCCCCCCCCCCACCCCCCCCCACCCCCCCCACCCCCCCCCCCCCCCACCCCCCCCCCCCCCTCCACCCCCCCCCCCCACCCCCCCACCCCCCCCCCCCACCCCCCCCCCCTACCTACCCCACCCATCTGTCTTTTTGGCTTGAGCTTGTCCTGGTGCATGATCTTCGAACCATGCGAGCGGGTTTAGACCTCTCAACTATGCTCCAGCGGGGTCGGCGGCTTGAGCCGGAGGCTCTTAAATATAATGCCAGACAATCTAATAAACGGTTTCCTAATCGAATATAATATACTACATGACATATATATATATATATATATACATATCTATATATAATCGTATGACAGTACGATACAAAGGGAGAACCGCCGAGTTGGTCCTGCAAGGGGTCCAAAAACTTTGGAGGGTCACTGGGAACCCTCTTTGGACCCCCAAACCCTAAACCCTATGGACCCTTAACCCGACAGACCCCCAGCCCCCTTCTGAACGGGAGTGGTGCTTTGCCTCAGGAAGCTCTAGGGTCGGGGTTGAGGGTATTCGGGTTTAAGGTTTAGGGTGTTTGGCCATGAGGGTACTTGGTTTAGGGTATGAGGGTACGATAGGGCCCTGTTTCGGAAAACAGTTCGGGGCACAGGGTCTAGCCGAACTACCTGCCCGACCCCCTCCATCCCTAGCGTCGAGCAAAGATGTGGGCCCTTTTGGGGTTCAGGGTTCAGGGTTCCTAAACTCAGGCAGATGCACTTGCGCTCTAATAGACCCAGCCGTAACTCCGAGATGCTGAAGATCTCGCAGCCCCCAACCGCAGTGGCAGAATTACAGGGTGGCACATGGTCAGAGACTGTTCCGCGCCACTTTCAGAGCATCCAGTTCTTCCTGCTACTTCTGCGCGACTCGAAACCCTTCTAACCCTTCGAAACCTAAACCCTAAACCCTGAACCGTCCCTGGCCCCACCTGCTCCAGACCAGAGGTGAGGTCGTTTGAATTCTCCACGGCGGACCCTGAGATCTGCAGGCATCAAGGCTCAGAAAGGCTCTCGAAAATGATGGGGGGAAGGGTTTAGGGTTTAGGGTTTTAGGGTTTTAGGGTTTTAGGGTTTTAGGGTTTTAGGGTTTTAGGGTTTTAGGGTTTTAGGGTTTTAGGGTTTTAGGGTTTTAGGGTTTTAGGGTTCAGGGTTTATAGAGGGCCTCAAGCGACATCGGCTGCTACTCACGGCTTGCCAAGCTCCAAGGGCTGGAATTCATGGCACCATTTCGGCTGCGGAGTGCTTTTGCGGCAGGCTTAACCAAAAGTCATGAAGCTTCTGGGGACAGCAGGCCCACACAAACAACATGGGGTTTCCTGAAATAGGGGTGCTCATGTGGTGGAGTCCTAGCTCTTCAGCAGTCGACTCCGGCAAGCTCAAACGCCATACGAGGCACTCAAGTTTAGGGACTCTAGGGTTTAGGGTTTAGGGAGTCTGGTGTTGTGTGCATTCAAGGAGCGGCAGAAACCGAGTAGTTTCTGGGATTGCTCCACATCTAGGATGCAGCACCCAGCAATCATGGCTTTGACGTCGGCGAAGGATAGCCTTGAATGCGCAGCTGAGCCACCAGGCCCATTAGGGTTTAGGGTTTAGGGTTTAGGATTTAGGGTTTAGGGTTTAGGGTTTAGGGTTTAGGGTTTAGGAATACAGGGGCCGATTCCATTAGAACTTGTACTTGGGGCATCGTGTAGATTATATACTGTGTAATGTAAGGAACTATTTCGGCTCCTGTCACAGGATGGTGCCCTCTAGGCCGTAAACCCTGTGGTTCTTCGCAGGGAATGGGAGAATTAGGGCCCTATATTATATATATATACCCTTTAAGGGATTATATACGGTACCTCATTCCCTCATTCCCTAAGAACCCTAGAGCAGTTCGCCCAGTCAAGGCGCATGCACGTGCCGCTCTGGTCTGCTTGAAGGAAGAGCCCGCGGAACTCTGCAGCTTCCTGTGGCACGCAGGATGGCCATGGCTTGGGCTTCCGGAAAAAAAGGTAAGCCCGAAACCCTGAACCCACAGAGTGAAGGGTTTGGGGTGGGGGGGGGGGGGGGGGGGCTTGAGTCTAAGCGTTCAGGAGCCCTGGACCAAAGGTAAGCCCTAACTTGTCATGGGCTTTAGGGTTTAGGGTTTAGGGCCTCATAGGGGGCCTAAATCAAGGTCAGAGTCCGCACCTCCTCGGAGTAAAACTTCTCCTAAAACAAAAAGGAAAGCCTCGAAAAGAGGCCCTCATTTGAAGCACACTCCTCTAAACTCTAAACCCTAAAGCCTAAACCCTAACCCTAAACCCTAAACCCTAAACACCTCATCAGGGGACCCCCGCCTTCGCAGAGAAGCGAAGTTGGCTGAGAGTCTTGTTGAAGGACTCATACTTGTGCTCCTCTTCGTGGTCGCTGATCTTCCGGATCATACCTGGATTCCAGGCTCCCTAAAACGTAAACCCTAAACCCTACAGTAGATTTTTGGGGGCTTTCAGCGGGATTATTCATGGGTATACAAGAGGGTAGTTGGGATGTGCCAAGAGGATCCATGTACCCACCGAAAAAGTAGACCCAGACCCCCAAGAAACCACTACATAGTCACCAGGGGCCCAAATAAGGACCCCTTTGGGCTTAGGACTTTAGGGCTTTAGGGCTTTAGGGCTTTAGGGCTTTAGGGCTTTAGGGCTTTAGGGCTTTAGGGCTTTAGGGCTTTAGGGCTTTAGGGCTTTAGGGCTTTAGGGCTTTAGGGCTTTAGGGCTTTAGGGCTTTAGGGCGGTTTCTTTAGGACCAGGCCACGCACAAACTCCGTGAAGTCGAGGGAGTCGCTTTTGTCCGCCTCAGGTCGGAAACTGGCTTCGTGCATGCTACCCCAAAGCATCATCGGGAGTCCTTGCAGGATCTTAAAAAAGGGGGGGGGGGTTAGGGGTTAGGGGTTGGGGGTTAGGGGTTGGGGGTTAGGGGTTAGGGGTTGGGGGTTAGGGGTTAGGGGTTGGGGGTTAGGGGTTAGGTTGTAGGTTCATGGTCCGTTGAGAAGGGCCTTAAATGGGGACCCCTGAAATACCCCTTATATACCCTATGCAACCCAAGGGCCCATACTTCCGAAGCCTCTAAAGGAGGTAAGGGACCAGATTGAGGACCCATGCAACTACCCTTAGAAAGTACTAAACCCCAAGACCCTACAACCCCTCTAAACCTTTGCAAACTCCCAAAGCCCTTAAGCCACATAAACCCGATGAAGCCTATCTGTACGCACCAAAAACAAAACAAAACCTAAACCCCATATGGCCCCATACTAAACCCTACACCCTACACCCTACACCCTAAACCCTAAACCCTAAACCCCATGCACGTCCTCGAACAGCTGTGCTTCCCAGGCGCATCCGCATAACCCAGCAGCTGCATAAAGTACGGCCGGAACTCAGGCAAACTCGCATGCCTCCAGCTGAATTTAGGGTTTCGGGTTTAGGGTTTAGGGTTTAGGGCTCAGGGTTTAGCAGTAGGGTTGGCGATCTAGGGTTTCGGAACGAAACATGAGGTACCACCAGCAGGATCCTTTTTGATTTCGTTTGCAGCTTCAAGGAGCTAGGCGATGATAATATTTAATACTCCCTATCCTGGTCTTGTAGAGCAGGCTGCTTCCAAACCTCATGAATGCTCACAAGCCGTATCTCTGCACCCAAATGAACCCTGCCCTAAACCTTATAACCCTAAACCTTCTAAACCTTCCTTCTAAACCCTAGAACCCTATAACCCTATAACCCTATAACCCTAAACCTTATAAACTCTATAAACCCGAAGAAACCTATGATGCTGTGAAGCGAGATTTTGCAAACTGCGCCTCGGGAACAGCACCTCAATCAGCTGGACCAGTTCGGATCGCCGCCTTGGGGAAGAGTTAGGGTTTCGGGTTTGGGGTTTAGGGTTTGGGGGTTTAGGGCTGGGTTTCCTTTAGTCTCGTCGTCTCCGTCATCGTCTTCGTCTCCTCCCCGCGCGCGGTCGTTGATCTCCTTTCCATGAATGAAGGCCCTTGTTTTCGTCCAATCTTTCCAAGGTCGCATTCATCCGCTCGTACTCCGCCTTCAGAGGGAGTGTGACTGCATCCGCCAGGACAATCCTTTTGGTAATGTATCGAGTCTGTAACGGCCACTTTCGCAAAGTTCGATAAGTTGACCAACGCAAATTGCTTCATATCTGACACCTTGTACTTCCTGGACCAGGTTTGTCCGGCGTTGAGCACGTATCCAACGAGAATGCCAGGAATTCCTGTTGAATCAGATTTATCTCCGTAGCTTGGCTCGCGAGCGGACGCAATATCCGGCACTTCATCTGCGAGCCGATGGTCACCATCACTTGCACTGGAACGATGAAAGATGCCTTGCACTTCCTTTGCTTCAGCTTCATCATGCGCCTTCGCCTTCTTGTCCCTGCATGTATGGAGTGTGCCCGTGCACGAACATCTGGATCCTCTCGCTGCCCCTCACTGATCATGAAAGGTGGCAGCCCTGAAGGCCAAACGAACGCATTGTCACAGACCCCACGTCTCCTGCAGAGAATTCATTGCAGCAGGTTGCAAAGGCGAAGAGAACATAATGTGCGAATGAGGAGGGTTGTAGAAAGAAAGGTCTGCCTTCGTCATCTTTTCGTGGCCTGCAGATGGCCATGGAACTTTGCGATCTTGGGTCCCCATCAGGAGACCGCCCCAAGCAGGGGCACCCTGCGTGGCATACGGCTCACGGGCACGGAGGAGTAGATTTCCTGCCAACAACCTTTGCGCGCCTTTGCGCTCTACGGATGTCCTTGAGGCGCTCCTGGTAGCAAGCCCGCGCAGCGTCCTGAACACAAGAGGTCCTCACATCGGAGTCTGAAGAGTCACAAGGCTCTCTCTGCGGCACCTCAATCTCGACAGCAATGGAGATGCATCCTGGTGATCCTTGAGCCGTCTCCGCTCACTGGACTCTGCAACCCCAGTTGACCGCTCATTTTCCATGTTCTCTTTGATGCGCCGGTATTATCGGGGAGAATATCCTTGCAACCCCCGAAAAACTCCCCTACCTATATATGATGCCTAATTATAAAGCCCTAGAATAAGCTAGACAGCCCCATACGAACCCCATTGATAAGAAGGATGTCATTCACCCCAGGGGGCAGCCGTGGGAACCTCAGTAGGGTTTAGGGTTTAGGGTGTAGGGTTTAGGGTTTAGGGTGTAGGGTTTATTAGGGTTTAGGGTTTGGGGTTTGGGGTTTGGGGTTTGGGGTTTAGGGTGTAGGGCTCATTAGTCATTGCGGGGTCTGGGACATGGTGCCTCCAAAAACATTGGGAGCCGTCTTGCGAGGCTGTGAAATGTAAGGCTGCGTAAGGAGTACGTAAAGGGTCATAAGTAGGGCAAGTATGGCGCTAACCTTATTTAGGGCACTTATAACCCGACTTATAGGAAGCCATGAACCTTCAAGTATAGTGAACCCCCGCAACATATGATCTTGGTAGCCCAGTAGCCACAGTATGACAAGGCTGCCCTTTTTGGGGTCGCTTACTTCATAAGAGAACCCAAAAAGCACAGGGCAAAAGGGCACCACTGGGCTCCCCAGAGATGTTCCCCTAAATCCAGGTTGCCCAGCAACCTAGGATTGAAAAGGGCTTAGGGTTTAGGGTTTCGGGTTTAGGGTGGCTGCGTTTTCTTGCTTACAGGGGTTTATAAGGCAACCTAAGCCCCCAAAAAAGGGAATGAGGGCATCCTAGAAATTCTTGGAAGAGACGACCCCCCCAAAGAAGAGCAACAACGAAGGAGGTGCAGATCCGGGACTTGACCTGAAGAAGGGGGAGGAGATTTCTTGAAGGGCTTAGGGTTTAGGGTTTAGGGTTTAGGGTTTAGGGTTTAGGGTTTAGGGCTTAGCTTCTTTGCCAGGTGGCAACACGCCGTTCCCATCCTTGTCAAAGCGCAAGAAGTGTGTGCGGAGCGCAGCGAGCTCAGGCTCAGAGTACCCAGCCTCCCAGCGCAGTTTCGAGAATTGCAGCTCCCTTCATGTAGGGTTTAGGGTAACCCCTGAGCCCGTTCAAGGTTGGGAGAGTATCAAAAATGTAAATGTCTACTCCTTATTGAGTTTAAGTTGCTGTTAAAATCCAAAAACCAAACCCACTATGACAAAGTGAGGTTAAGGGCCAGAAATATATCGGGCAGCTCCGAGAGGGACCCCAACTTTGCCAAGAACTGGCCACATAAAGTGGTAAATGCCAACAGGCACGTTCGTCCTAAGCCTCCCCGGGAACCATTACCAACACTAAACCCTAAACCCCGAAACCCTGAACCCTGGGCCCTAAACCCTAAACCCTAAACCCTAAACCCTAAACCCTAAACCCCAAACCCCAAACCCTAAACCCTAACTAAACCCAAAGCTCCATCAACACCATAGCCTCTAGTCCTATAGCCCAAGCCCTGAACTACTGGAGGCCCCAAACAGGCTTCTCAGATCCCGCATGGCTACTAAACACCCCCACTCTCCTAGTGCCGCCAGGGTTTAGGGCTTAGGGTTTAGGACCCAGAGTTCTACAAACACAAAAACTCCAATGACAAGGTGAGGCACATTGAGCCGCAGCTCGTGAAGACGAGAGGTGCTAAACTTGTATCGCCTGCCAAGGAATGCAGACAACTTAAGGATTTAGGGTTTTGGGTTTAGGGTTCAGGGTTGAGGGTTACGCAGGGAAATACTGGAAGTTTAGGGTGTTAGGGGCTCAGGATAAACAGGAAATGTCATGCTCTGAATCTCGGAGTCCGAATGCGGCCGTATCTTCATCGCTGCCACCAGTAAACGTGCCCCCAGCAGGAGCCCCAATGCAGAGAACTACCCATGTGGATGCTCAACCCCGTTCTTGTCCTGCTCCTCCGACACCCTAAACCCCTATCCCGGGGAACTTTAAAGGCTAGCCTTCGGGACTGTATCTATACGTATTAGGTCTGATGGTTAACAGCGACATAGACCACCAAGTCCTGAACTCACGACTTTGTGCCAGGATGCTGGACGATGTTGAGGAACCTGTGCGAGACATGGCAAATCCCTATCAGCAACTCCAACAAGGTTATTCGTTCGTACCCTAAACCCTGAACCCTGAACCCTGAAACCTTCCCCATTTAAGGGACGAAGTTGGCTTCTTCCAGTTCGCGTCAAGGGGATCACGGTGTGCTGTGTGTGTTAAGGACTATTTGACCAATGCAGCAACCAAGATGGTCACCCGTAATTCGGGTCCTTTTGGGGGGGTTACTTTTTACAAGGTGGCCGCTGATGTTAAGCATACCCCATGGACCATCATCCACAGAACTGATCAAGACTTGGTTAAGAGTTTAGGGTACAGCAAGACCCTAAACCCTAAAACCCTAAGCCAAAAAAACCCTAAACCCTAAACCCTAAACCCCAAACCCTAAACCCTAAACCCTAAACCCCAAACCCTAAACCCTAAACCCCAAACCCTAAACCCAAAACCCTAAACCCCAAACCCTAAACCCTAAACCCTAAACCCTAAACACTAAACACTAAACCCTAAACCCTATAGAAGCAGCGGGTGCCCGAATCACGCGCCGGGACCATTACGGCTATTGCTCCGAACGGTGCTATTTGATGCTGTCGGTGGTATTTACTGATCGCCTTTTCAGGGCTTAAGATTATCTAAGGGCCTCAGAACCTAAAAGCCTTGAAGCCCTAAACGCCCTTCTACCTAAAAGGTACCTCTTGGTTTAGAAGCCCACAAGCCCTAAACCCGAAAGCCCTACAGCCCAAACCCGTTGGTTCAAGGCCTCTCAACCTTCAACCTTCAACTCTCAACCCTAAACCCTAGCTCTAAACCTTAAACCCTAAACCCTAAACCCTAAACCCTAAACCCTAAACCCTAAACCCTAAACCCTAAACCCTAAACCCTAAACCCTAAACCCTAAACCCTAAACCCAAGGCCGGGAGGCGTGGGCAGGTCTGCAGCGGAGCACTCGCTCAGGGACCGCGGAGGTGGATTCCCCCGCGAGTCCAGGCAACCAAGGCCTACTTGGAGGTTTGGGGTTTAGGGTTTAGGGTTTAGGGTTTAGGGTTTAGGGTTTAGGGTTTAGGGTTTAGGGTTTAGGGTTTAGGGCTTCGGGGATTTAGGGTTCAGGGTTCCGGGGGTTCATGGGTACTTACAAGGTTGTAAGTAGTGTAACTCTGGTTATAGCCTTATTTCGCGCACTTACAGCCCCCGCTTGTAAGTACCCACGAACCCTTGAAGTTTAGGTTTAGGATTCTGGTCATACCGCTTATAGGATTCACAGGGCTTTCAGGGTCTTCGGGCTTACGAGGGTTTAGGGCGCTTGAGGGTTTAGGGTGTAGGGCTTAGGGCGTTTTCGGGGTTAAGGGCTTAGGCCTTTTCAGGGTTTAGGGTTTAAGGTTTAAGGTTTAGGGCAGGCTTAGGGCCTAAGAATCCCTAAGAATCCCTAAGCCCTAAACCCTACTTGGAGGTTCATGGCACTTCCTAACCAATTATAACTGCAGTTACAACTGTACTGATGACAGGTAGGGCACTTAAAGGGCTTACAAGTGGTTATAAGTACACTTATATTAGACTTGGTTATTAAGTACCATGACATTCCTGAACCCTGAACCCTAAACCCTGCTTTAGGGGTTAGGGTTAGGTTTCTATGGAGGGCTCACATCCTGTAAGGCCTGTAGGGCGAAGGGAGTGCTTTGGGCAGTCCAAGGATTTAGGGTTTAGGGTTTAGGGTTCGGGGTTTAGGTTGAGGGACCGTGAACTCCAAAACGTCCCAGGGGCGAGGAGGCTTTCGTGGAACTCAGGAGGGGCGGGGGGGGGGGGGGGGGTTGAGGGCCGTTGAGGGGTGTTAGGAGGCACATTTTCCCGTCAAAGCCCTAAACCCGAAACCCGAAACTCAATGGACTTTAAAGGCACGCTACACGAAATATTTTCTGAAACGACCTCATGATATACCCCAAAATACGATAATCCTAATCATAAGAACCCCCAAAAGGATACCCGCAGGTGCTGGGAAACTGAACATCTCAGTGCGCGTGCAAACGGGGACCGCTAAGTGATTTCTGCCACTTGCCCCGCTTGCCCCACTTGCTGTGCTCCCCTTACCGAAAACCACTTTGCCCCACTTGCCCCACTTGCCCCACTTGCCCCACTTGCCCTGCCTTAACCGCTAAGTGATTTCTGCCACTTGCCCCGCTTGCCCCACTTGCCCCACTTGCCCCACTTGCCCCACTTGCCCCACTTGCCCACTCGCCCCCCTCCTACCCCAGCCCACCCTGCAAGTGGGGCGTGGGGCAACCGGGGCAAGTGCGGCAAGTGGGGCAAGTGGGGCAAGTGGGGCAAGTGGGCAAGTGGGCAAGTGGGGCAAGTGGGGCAAGTGGGGGCAAGTGGGGCACACCCCCACCCCCCCCCCCCCCCCCCCGCCCCCCACCCCCCCCCCCCCCCCGCCCCCCCCCCCCCCCCCCCCACCCCCCCCCCCCGCCCCCCCCCCACCGCCCCCCCCCCATGGCCTGACAAGTCTGCCTCAAATCTTGTTGCCCCTTTCATGTTGCGTTTCCCTTCCTTCCCCCCTCCCCCTCCCCGCCCTTCCCCTTAAAATCCCCCCCTGTGTTGCCTGACAAGTCTGCCTCAAATCCGGCTGCGTTTGAGGCAGACTTGTCGTGCCGGTTTCCTACTCTTGATCGTGTTCCCCCCACCTCCCCCCCCAAACTCCCCCCCCGCCTCCCCCACCCTTCCTGATCCTCCTCCCCTCCCCGTCCTTCATCTCAAAATGGCCCCCTTCTGTGGCCTGACAAGTCTGCCTCAAATCGGGCTGTGTTTGAGGTAGACTTGGCCTCTTTCGTGTTGTCACCCCTTCCCCCCCCCCCCCCTCTTCCCCACCTTCCCCTCAAAATGGTCTTTCTTGTCTGTGTTCCGCCCCCCCCCCCTCCCTTCTCTCCCCTTCCCCTCGTCTCCTCTTCCCCACCCTCAGGCCCACAAACCCGCCAAGGGCTCACTTGGTCCCCAAGGAAACCTTGGTGGAAGTCTGGATATTCCAACCCTAAATCCTAAACCCTAAACCCTTCCAGGGGACAAGGAAGTCTTGGCGCTTCCGAGCAGCACCAATGTGGCGAACCTTCCCGGTCCGCTGAGCATCGAAGAGACCCCGGCACAGCTCCAAGTATTGGCTGCATTTGAGGCAGACTTGTTGGCTAGGGTCTGCCCCCAACAAGCCCCACCCATAAGTCTGCCTCAATTTCAGCTCGATTTGAGCCACAGGTCTGCCTTGAATGCAGCCCGATTTGAGGCAGACTTGTGGCTATAGGTTGGTCATTTTAGGGTCATTTTAGGGTCCAATAGCACTCAAGGTTCTACTTGGCTAGGGCCTGCCCTCCAACCATAAGTCTGCCTCAAACGCAGCCGGATTTGAGGCAGACTTGTGGCGCGGCGAGGCCAAGGGGTGGGGGGAGGGGGGGGGGGCGCTTGCCCCACTTGCCTCACTTGCCCCACTTGCCCTACTTGCCCCAGATCATTTTAGGGTCTGTCCGAGTCCAATAGCACTTGAGGTTTTACATGGCAAGGGTATGCCCTCAACGAGTCCCAGCCACAAGTCTGCCTCAATTGCAGCGAGATTTGAGGCAGACTTGTGGCTGGTTGGTTACTTTAGGGTCTGTCCGAGTCCAATAGCACTCGAGGTTCTACTTGGCTAGGGTCTGCCCCCAACCAGCCCCAGCCACAGGTCTGCCTTGAATGCAGCATTTGAGGCAGACGTGTGGCTAGGTTGGTCATTTTAGGGTCATTTTAGGGTCCAACAGCACTCAAGGTTCTACTTGGCTAGGGCCTGCCCTACAACCATAAGTCTGCCTCAAACGCAGCCTGATTTGAGGCAGACTTGTGGCGCGGCGAGGCGAGGGGGGGGGGGGGCGCTTGCCCCACTTGCCCCACTTGCCCCACTTGCCCCACTTGCCCCAGTTACCCAGGCAGCAGGGATTACTCCTGAGGCAAGTGGGGCAAGTGGGGCAAGTGGGGCAAGTGGGGCAAGTGGGGCAAGTGGGGCAAGTGGGGCAAGTGGGGCAAGTGGGGCAAGTGGGGCAACATCAATTAGCTTTTCCGGGCCACCAAGTGGGGCAAGTGGGGCAAGTGGGGCAACATCAATTAGCTCTTCTGGAAAGGCAAGTGGGGCAAGTGGGGCAAGTGGGGCAACATCAATTAGCGGACCCCCTGGGCGCTCGCAATGGAACATCTTTTGGATGAAATGCTTGCGGCTATGAAAGACAGAGGAATTTGGGGTTTAGGGTTTGGAGCCTGAACCCTAAACCCTAAAACCTAAACCCCAAGGGCTTAGGGGACGATTTAGGCCCCTCTCGGACGAGTGGCTCGCAAAGGCTTGGCACTGCTTCGCGTCGTCCAAGACCCCCAGCGCTGCGACGTCGAGCCTGCAAGAACACTGAACTCCTAAACCCTAAAAGCTCAACCCTGAACCCTAAACCCTGAACCCTAAACCCTAAACCCTGAACCCTAAACCCAAAACCCAAAAACCCTAAACCCTAGGATGTGGGGTTTAGGAGCTGCGCGTTGGCCTCTTACCAAACTCTTACGGGACGACCCGCGACCTCCCAGAAACCCTACCTAAGAAACGGATTTAGGGCTTGAAGGGTTTAAGAGTTTTGCGCTAGGGTTTAGGGTTTAGGGTTTAGGGTTTAGGGTTTAGGGTTTAGGGTTTGGGGTTGGGGGTTTTGGGGTTTGGGGTTTAGGGTTTAGGGCTTAAGGCAGCCGACACCTGCTTCTTGATGTCCAAACTCTTCTCACGTACAGGACTCTTGGACAACAACAGCCATAAACCCGAAACCCTTATGCAACCCCAACACCCCTAAAGCAAAAAATCTAGCAAGCTCGGGTCTTCTTCTGGGCTCTTCTCAGAAGGAACCCTAAACCCTAAACCCTAAACCCTAAACTCTAAACCCTAATCCCTAAACCCTAAACCCTAAAGCCCAAACCCTGAACCCTAAACCCTAAACCCTAAACCCTGAACTCTATAAGCTATAAACCCCGAAGCTCATGCCCTCGCCTATGGAATGCAGCTGAGGCTGCTCGCCGTTCGAGATCCCGGCATTTACCTCGAGGGATGGGGGTTTAGGGTTTAGGGTTTAGGGCTTAGGGCTTAGGGTTGAGGGTTTAGGGAAGGATGCAGTGGGGCCCCCCAGAAGAATGGGGCAAAAACAAAAAGGACGTCGCGAGCTTCGAGAGTTCGCAAAGGGAGCTATGGCAAGGATCCACTTCGAACAAGCTTCGGATCAGCTTCACGAAGAGGGTGAAGTCCAGGCGCCCGTCAAAGTCCACATCCAGCCTTGGCTCTACTTGGAGGTTCATGGGACTTAATGACCACTTATAACTGGGCCTATAACCCTACCTATCATAGGGATAACCCCTATAAGGCCATTTAGGGGTATTATAAGTAGGGTTATAAGTACAGTTATGATTGGTTAGTAAGTACCATGAACCTTCAAGTAGCTGCAGGAGATGAGGCAGCTGATTCTTCTGGGCCTCACTGCCTCAGCGGGCCTCTTTGACCACAGCTAGTGACCAAGAAGACCAAGAAGATGCCTAAAACAGTTCTCAAGTAACCAAGGACACCCCCCCCCCCCCGCCCCCAAGCCTTAATTGAACCCTAGATGCGAACGCCCCAAGCAAACCCTAAACCCTAAACCCTAAACCCTAAACCCTAAACCCTAAACCCTAAACCCTAAACCCTAAACCCTAAACCCTAAACCCTAAACCCTAGACCCAAATTGGGCGGGAACAAATCTCGTCCAGGAAGCTCCCCCACGAAGTGCTGCACCACCTCGAAGGCATAGGAATGTCCCAGCCAGCGCAGGGCCTTCCTGAAAGTGGGGTTTAGGGTTTAGGGCTAGGGTTTGGGGGTTGGGGGTTTAGGGTTTAGGGTTTAGGGTTTAGGGTTTAGGGTTTAGGGATTAGGATGCAAAAGTCGAGGCTTGAGGCTTTACTGCTTTCAAGGGTCTTCTTTGTCCTTATAACCCTAAAACCTTATGCAGCCTTTAAGCTTTACAGGGCTTGAAGGGTTTAGAGCTTTACGCTAGGGGTTTAGGGTTTAGGGTTTAGGGTTTAGGGTTTAGGGTTTAGGGTTTAGGGTTCAGGGTTTGAGCCGAGGTCCTTGAGATCCAGTAAACCGGTGTCCGACATTCAAAGGCCGGAAAGCCCTACTTTTGCCCCGAACCGTAAAGGACGAAACCATCAACGCTTGCAAGTAAGGCCCCTAAAACTTGAACCGGCTAACCCTAAACCCTAAACCCTAAACCCTAAAACATGAACCGGCTAACCTCAGGCCAAGTTGCTGAATTGCTGGACTGGATATCTCCTCGCACATGCCAGACCTCTCCGGGGCCCGAAGCCCTGAACCCCAAGCGTTTGGGGCTCAGGGTTTAGGGTTTAGGGTTTAGGGTTTAGGGCTAGGGTTTAGGGTTTAGGGTTTAGGGCGTTTAGGAATCAGAGGACTCAAGCAAGTTGACCTACATTATGGGTGCCCCTCTGGTCTCCAGTATCTTACCTTACTTCCTTTCCCCTTCAGTTGCGGTTACCAGCACGCACCACAAGGGCCTCATAGCTTAGCTCAACCTAGGGTTTAGGGTTTATTTGTAGGGTTCAGGGTTTAGGGTTCAGGGTTCAGGGTTTAGGGGACTTCGGGGCTCATGAAAGGGACTATAAGGGTCTAGGGTTTGGCTCAGCGGCATCTGCATGCGGAATGCTTCCTTCAGTTCTCGCATCTCCGCATCCGTGAAGCCGTCCCTAGCCCGGAGCTTGCAGAGCCTGAGCAGGGTTGAGGGTTTAGGGTTGAGGGCTTGGGGAAACTAAGGCTTGTGATAGAGATAGACCTATCGCGTGGCGCTTAGCGTCCCGATGTAGCTCAGCTTGGCGACCTGCCAACTCATGCTCCCTGAACGCTGGAAGCAACAAATCCGCCGCCCGAATCCCTGAACCCACAACCCCACAACCATGAGTAAGCCACCTTTGTCCCTGTAAACCCCAAACCCCAAACCCCAAACCCTAAACCCCAAACCCGAAACCCGAAACCCGAATCCCGAAACCCTAAACCCTAAACCCCAAACCCCTAAACCCTAAACCGCAAACCCCTTGAACTCCTGCCGAGCATCACATTGCTGAGATCGTCCGCCCCCAGATCCAGCACCACCTCGTCGGAGATCTCCATGAGCCCATTGCACCTCCAGGGTGTGAGATTCTCTGACATATCTACAAGGGCTTAGGGTTTAGGGTTTAGGGTTTAGGGTTTAGTGAACCTCCTTCGCTCCCTATCTCTCTGTTTCCATCTTGCTCGTGCTCTCATTCGCCTCGGTCGCATATACCCCTTCACGCATATGTACATGCATGCATTCATGTGTTCACTCCGTTGTTCTCCTTTTCTCCTCAGCTCATTCAACTATTCGACCTGCATCCCGTGCACTCTCTCTCTCTCTATCTCCCTCTCCCTCTCTCTTCCTCCCTCCATCCCTCGCAGTCTCGTAGTCTTGCAGAGCACGCACACTATGGATGGTTACCTTGTTGGGGGGAACTTGAAAAAGAAAGAGAGAGGGAGAGAGCTGGTCACGCAGCCTATAAAATGTAGAGGCCTTAGCAATTAGCACAGGGTTTTGAGGTTTATGAGCTGTACATTTATCCATATGGGAGTACAAGTCGTAATTCTCCCGACCCTAAACCCTAAACCCTCAACCCTAAACCCTAAACCCTAAACCCTAAACCCTAAACCCTAAACCCTAAACCCTAAACCCTAAACCCTAAACTTACCCATACCGTCTCACTCTGATGAGGGCAGCTTGCATCAAAGCCACTTCTTGCCAAGATTGACCTTGCTCTCCTCAGGCGCCACAGGGTTTAGGGTTTAGGGTTTAGGGTTTAGGGTTTAGGGTTTAGGGTTTAGGGTTTAGGGTTTAGGCATACAAGAAAGATGCATCAACGAACTGGCTCTCTGCAGGTTGCAGGGGTCTGGAAACTGGGCTTTCCGGGCGCCTGCAAGAGCACAGGGACCCCTGTGAAACCTAAAGCCTCAAACCCTGAACCCTAAACCCTAGATCCCAAACCCTGAACCCTAAGCCCTATATCCAAAGCCCTAAGGGTTGAAACCCTAAACCCTAAACATCCCCTCCCCCCCCTGAATCCCTGGGCTTTTGCCACCCTGAACCCTAAACCCTAAACCCTAAACCCTAAACCCTAAACCCTAAACCCTAAACCCTAAACCCTAAACCCCCGAACCTCTTGCAAGGCCAAAGTGCCAGCCCGGCTTCGCGGATGGCATCCAGGATGGCATCGCCCGCATCGACGTAGCCTAGGCGCCCGTTTATGCGGGAAGGGGTTTAGGGTTTAGGGTTTAGGGTTTAGGGTTTAGGGTTTAGGGTTTAGGGTTTAGGGTTTAGTGTTTAGGGTTAAGGGTTTAGGGTAAAATGTTCTTGCTCTGAACCTCCCCCCCCCCCCCCCCCAAAAAAAAAAGCAGGGGAAAAAGGCACATCATATATGTACATACATATACACATACACAATCCTTGAACCCTAAACCCTTAAACCCTTAAACCCTTAAACCCTCAAACCCTCAAACCCTCAAACCCTCAAACCCTTAAACCCTTAAACCCTTAAACCCTTAAACCCTTAAACCCTTAAACCCTAAAACCTAGACCCTAAATCTCTGAGCCCTAAACCTCTGAACCCTCTAAAGGGAAAGCAGGAAAAATCTTCCAAGGAGCCCAGCTCATCGAGCAGCTCCAGGAGCTGACGCCCGTTCTGACACCTGGCGCCCGCAGGAGCTCCGGGATTGGGTTTAGGGTTTAGGGTTTAGGGTTTAGGGTTTAGGGTTTAGGGTTTAGGGTTTAGGGTTTAGGGTTTAGGGTTTAGGGTTTAGGGTTTAGGGTTTAGGGTTTAGGGTTTAGGCTTTAGGGTTTAGGGTTTAGGGTTTAGGGTTTAGGGTTTAGGGATTAGGGATTAGGTTTAGGTTTTAGGGCTTTAGGGTTGTAGGGGTTGCAGGGGTTTTCGGGTCTTAGGAGTTTTAGGGGTTTTAGGGGTTTAGGGATACAGCAAAACAAAGGGTAAAGGGTACCACTGGGCCACCAAGTCTCAATGAACCTTCTCTCATCAGTAACCCTGCGAAAACAGGGAACGGCACAAGCAAAATACACAATACTCCCTATAACTGGGAACCCTCAACTAAAACTCTAGAAATCCCTACAACCCAAAAACCCTGAACCCTAAACCCTCAACCCTAAGCCCTAAACCCTAAACCCTAAACCCTAAACCCTAAACCCTAAACCCTAAACCCTAAGGAGCCGATTCATGGCAATGAGAAAGCCCGGCCCTGCACCTGCCATCTGAGTCATCCAGGAAGCGGCGGACCCCTTCGGCCTCTTCCTGTTTTGGGGGGTTTAGGGGTTTAGGGTTTGAGGTTTTGGGCTTTCAAAGACTTTAAGTTTGCACCCTTAATGTTTGTAACCTTAGGTTTGGGGTCCCCAAATACCCTTATTAAGCGCCATATTCCCTGGTTTAGGGGCCCAACACTCAAGGTTACAAACCCAAAGGCACAAAGGAAAAGTCCCTGATCAACTCAGGGTACGCACAACCCCTCACATAAGGCCTCTTAGCTTCATACAGAGCCTCACATTGAGATTTTTACCAGTACCATTTGGGGTTCAGTAAACCCTAAAACCCAAACCCCTTAACCCTAACATGGGCAGGGGGTTGGCCCATAAGCCAGGGGTACAGATCACATTCTTTGGGGGAAGTAGTCCCGCAGCGACTTTAAAAGCAAACATCATCATGCTATAATGGGAAGAATAATTCTTCACACCACCGCACTATGAAACGGAATTCAGCTGAGTGATCCTCTGCTAGGTCCAACTTTTCTTTGACGAGCGAGGCGCGGACATTTGATTCTAAGTTGGCCGAAAAGTCTGAAGGTGATGAGCTCCTGGTCAGTAGTAATACTGGGAATAGTATACATAATCATAATAACACCACCAACATGATCAATAGCGATTTAAACAGACCCCTGCAGCCTAAACCCTCAAAAGGGGAGAGCTTCAACTGATGCTTCAACTGGTGAGCCCTATTGAGATGCCATTTTGATTGACAAACGAAACCTTCATCGCAAGCAAAACTGCTGAGCCCGGAACCCTAGGACGCCAAGGATACATAGGGCTTGTGAAGGGATTATAGGGATTTAGGGTTTAGGGTTTAGGGTTTAGGATCCCTTTCAATGCTTCTGTAGTGGTTAATTTTCTCACTTGGGTAAGCATGCGAGCCAAACAGCTGACCCAAGGCTCAGGCTAATTTTTTGCAGAGCTGTTTGAAAGGAGCATGTACTTTCCCAGCTTTCGCTACCCCCAATGCTGCCTGCGGAAACTATCCGCTAAACCCCCAACCTTTCACGGTGTCTTGCCGGATCCGGGATTGGTGGCGGAAAAGACCCTTTTGAGAAATGTTGAAAGTCAAACATAGTCTACCACCGTCTGCTATATTTGTACTATAGCTTGCACTGCACAAAAGTGTAACATCGTCTACTGCACGATGCTAAAAACTACAGTACCTGAAGCCCTCTCCACTTTCAAAAGTACACAGGGTTTACCTAAATCCCAACATCTTGAAATCCTGTTTACACATCCCTCAAAGCCTTGCAGAAACCGCAAACAGTCCCCATTGCCCGAATCCTTACACCTTACACCCCCAAATCCCTAAACCCTAATCCTTGAACCCTAATCCCTAAACCCTCAAAGCCTCAAGCTCTGCGGGCACCTTCAGAATGCAGCTTTGACTTCAGGGTTTGCGTAAGACTGCAACATGAGAGCTTCTCAGCATAGGGGGCCCTAGGGAACCCAAGGGATACATATTGCATAGGGATGATAAAATGGGGTTCTGTAGGCTATGGGGATAATGTAGAGAAACTCTCATATGACTACTTGGGCGGGTGGAGTTTTCCAGGACCTAGAGACCTAGACAATCTCCAAGGATGTCACACAAGAGTCCCCTTAAAACTCCCTAAAATCTCCTTAAACCCCCTAAAGCCCCCTTGGCGACTTACCATCTGAGAGTGCAGTCTGCGGGAGGGTGGAAGTTCGCAGATTCAGGAAGTTCGAGCTGGGGATTTAAGGAGTTTGAGCTCTGACCACAAAAGGAAAGTTACTTGTATGGGTAATTATCAGTATTTTCCCCCTAGAATCCCCATAGGATCCCTCTATATCCCTTGGGTCCCTGTTCGGGCCCCCTTTTTGAGAAACTCTCTTATTACTCATCAGCTTTATGGGATCTTTCTTTGTCCGCTAAAACGGAAGCCCAAGGGGCCCCAAAATGTCGAGGAAGCCTACCAACCTACACTAGAACCTTCGGGGCTCCAAGTATGTAAATGGTACCTACTTTGTGCCTTAAAGTCTAGATCCGCCAACCCCAGCAGGGGCAGATCTACTATACGGAGCGGATCCTTTCTTTTACTCTTTAATAGCTGTAGCTAATAGCTAAAGCTATTAAAGACGTATTAGCCATCAGCTGTAATAGCTATTAGTTATAGCTATTAGCTATAGATCAGAAAGTGCACAAACATACGGGGCCCAAAATGGGCGGTGACCCGTTCATAAGTGTTATATATCTATGCTTATAGTTATACTATGTAGTGGAAATACAACTAGCAGCAGCAGCAGCAGCAGCAGCAGCAGCAGCAGCAGCAGCAGCAGCAGCAGCAGCAGCAGCAGCAGCAGTAGTAGTAGTAGTAGTAGTAGTAGTAGTAGTGGAGGAGGAGCAGAACCTCCCCTTCCCTCTGACCTCCCTCCCTCCCCTCCTCCCCTCTCCCCTCCTTCCCCTCCCTTGCACCGTCCCCCCCCCCTGCTCCTCCTCGCCCCCCAACTACTACCCCCGACACCCCCGTCCCGCCCTTTGCTACTCAACTTCGCCAACTTCTAGGCTTCTCGGGGCTTCTGAACTTCTTAGGTCCTTGCTTGGTGCCGGGAGCCCGGCTTTGAGGGTTTGGGGGTTCAGGGATTTGGGGCCACGAGCAGACCCACGCCCAAAACCAAAAGCCCTACACCCTTAATGCCAACACTAACACCTACACCCTAAACCCAAAATCTTAAACTTCAACCCTACATCCGAAATCCAAGTGGCAGTGGCAAGTAGCAAGCACCAGTCGCAGCGGCAGCAGCAGCAATAGCAGTAGTAACTAGTGACAGTAGTAGCAGGTGTAACTGGTAACTTGGTAACCGTAGTAGCAGTAGTAACAGTATTCGCAGTAGCAGGGGCAGCAGCAGCAGCATAGTAGCAGTAGCAGTAGCGCACCAACAACGACGAAAATTGACAGTGATGACAGCCGTGACATCGATAACAAAAACGAATATTGAAAACAACATGCTGAAAAAAAACTAATCCTAAACCCTAAGCCCTAGACCTGCAGATGGGCACGGATGCCCAAACACTTTCCGCAGCCGCAGCCTGAGCTGGCATTGGGCTCCCTAATCTCATACAAGCTGGCTATTTACAGTAAAACATGGACTCAACATTTAGAATCTCAAGCAAGAGCCGATAATCGTCATTTTGTAATGGTGGCGAGAATAAGCCGCAGCTATGGGAAGTTGCAGACAAAAAAGAGGTGCCAGGCTTTCCATGTAGTAACTCGTCACTAGTAAGTAATAACTACAAACTACATATTACTTCATTACGATTTATTTCCTACTCATTACTCCTTACTCCTTGCTCCTTGCTACTTACTGCTTACTACCATCATCGCAAGCATCTCATACTCCACGGAAAACAAACCTTCACGCGGCTTGCCAAGAAAAAACAATTGCCCATGGAGGCGGGCACGCGAAACCCCGGGAATGGAACGGAACGCGAATGAGAACGGAACGGAACGAGACAACGCGTCGATGCATAAACCTTCTGCCGCATATGTATATATATATATGTAGCAATGATTGTTGCCGGGTCCGCAAAATTCAAGCGCAAATTGTCGTAAAGGAATTTGGCCCAGATTGGAGCTGAGTGCGCCAGGGGTCAGGAATGATTTCTCCCCTAAGCCTTAAAAATCATTTGCGGTCTGGGGCTTTCTGGGCAGGAGACAGAGTCAAAATGATTTTACAGCAAAACAATTGCCAACGAGCTTCGTGGTCGGTGACACAGGGATGCCACCCTTTTCCAAGTTCCGCTTCGCAAGAAGCGGAACCGAAAGCTGCAGCTGCGGCCTGTACCCGGTGACCCTGTCCGGGAAGCCTGCAATGTTTTGGGGTTTTGGGTTTCGGGGTTTCGGCGCCCTACTCCAGCAAATCCTAAAACCCCAAACCCTAAACCTAGAAACCGTAAGGCCGGCAACCCAAAAACGCACTTCGGGGACTTCGGGGTGCTACTTCAACGGCGAATAGGGCTTGGGGTTGCTGAGTCTGAAATCTCGGCTCTAGAATGCGAGGGTTTTGGTTTTAAAGGTTAGGGCTTCGGGCTTGGGGTTTTGACTGTAAGGTGTTCTTAAACAACAAAAACCTGCATCCGAATTTCAAAAACCCCATAACCTGCAAGCCCCAAACTCCAGACCTAGACCTCCGAGTTGGTACTCGCGTGCTATTAGGCCCTAAACCCTACACCCTATCATGTATTGGGGGGAATTTTCTGTGGTGGGTTGGGGGGCTTCTGAGGGCATTCGGTCTCGTCGCGCCTGGCGGATCTGCACTGGCGAAAGGTGAAGGCCGCGTAGCCCGTGGCAGATTGATACCTCCCTTGCGGAGATGCTGCGAGTTTCTCAACATCGGTGCATATACCCCATATTCTATCTACTTAAGGGGGGCTATATAGTCTAAACTCCTTAAAGGGGTTATGGTTATACGGATTAAATTGGGTTTAGGGTCCAAACTCTCAAGGGGGGGGGGGTTGTATATAGGGGGTTATAAGACCTTGAAGGGGTTATAGGAGGATATATAGGGTTCAGGGTCTAGAGTTTAAGGTCTCATTCAAAGCATGGAAAGCAACTCAACAACTGGGCGCGCTGAGTGTCTTGCCCACTGTGATGCCATCTGGACTCTCACTGAACCCTAAATTTAGGATTCAGGGCTTTGGGCGTTAGGGGTCCCTCGATAGGAGTTAACATGGCCTCTGGAAATTAGTTCTCGTGGGTACCTTCCATAGCAGGGAATCTGTTAAGCGGGCGTCGACGTGGGGTCCTCGCTGAAAAATGGGGGGGAAGAATCATTCAAGCAAGGGATCATCCAAATTATGGGTATAGTCCCCCTTAAGTACCCGCCTCCATGGGCAATTGTTTTTTCTTGGCAAGCCGCGTGAAGGTTTGTTTTCCGTGGAGTATGAGATGCTTGCGATGATGGTAGTAAGCAGTAAGTAGCAAGGAGCAAGGAGT